AGGATAAATTTGTAAATTTATGATTAACCATGCAATCCTCCAAACTATGAAAATAATAGAAACTAAAAGAGAACTCCTCAGAACTGTCAATCAGAATAGAATCAAAATCAATTACTTAATAAATCTGGGCTACCTCATATAAATGGACAGCCATAACCCATATCAAGTCTTGAGCCCTAGCTTAAAAGGTAGAAATTAGATAATCAAGGTCTAATTTCTTAGCAAACTTCAAACTAAAATTTTTCTGCTTAATAAACGTATAACTCAAACATAAATGGAGTCAACGGTTCTATTGATTATCACGATTAGGCTCCTACATTTAATGAATAGTCAATTGGTCCTTATGTCTAGTTCACTCCTAATTTATTTGCAGAATTTGTAAAAAACACTGCTTAAAATTTTGCTTTGTGTGATTAACGAATTAAATTGCTTGAGTAAAAATATCAAAATCTTTAATAATCAATGTTAGACTCAATTTCTTGTTAATGACAAATCCAAAAAATAAGAGAAAATTATTTATTAAAATAGAGAAATCCAAGATCGGCTTCAAACAATCAATAATTTAATTAGGTTAATCAAGACTCAAATAAAAGCAATAACTAAACTGATTAAAACTAAGGTAATGTATAGCATGCACAACTAAATCATCAATCAGATTAAAGCCTAAAATTAACATAGAAATTGTCGCAACTAGCATAATATCAATTTGAGAAAGATAAATAGACATTCCCATAAAAAGAAGGTTTAATATCAATAGATCCAACAGCTAACACTGCTTCTACAGCTTAATCTCCTGAAAAATATAATAACCTTTCTGAGACTAGTCATCTGTTAGTTCGATCAGAAATTTTATAAAAAAGTCAGCCAAATAATTTAAGAGAAATTTCATCATAACTTTCACAAAATACTCATCCAAAGAAGCGAATGCTTGCAAGAAAAACGGCTCAAAACACAGAAGATAAGGAAATCGAGACAGAGTCAGAAAATGAAGATGATATTCAGGAGGAAGATGAAGAAGAGGAATTAAATTAAGATGAGTAAGATAAAGGAGAGGAACAGGTACTAGAAGAGGAAGATGAAGTAGAATAGGCAAATAGTAGTTTTACTGAAATATTTGAGGTAAATACAATTAATACAGAATAAACAACAAGAGATTAGATTTTACCATATAATAAAAAAAATAACGAACAACCAGGAACAATATGAATTGAACTTTAATAAATTGAAAATATTTTTAACTTTATTAAGAGATTTAACTCTTTTGAATCCTGGGGTTTTGGGGTTTTGGGG